AAAACGCGCTACTCACATAGCCATATCAACGAGTAGCAAATCACATGTGAACTCCTCCCACCAGCAACGTAGTAAGCTGTCACAGGTGTCATCGGTGAGCTCTACAGAGCTGCACAAATTAGACGACAACATGTCACTGAAAAAGTCCGCTTCTTCGCATTTTGTGAACAAGACGAAGCGCGGCAATGAAACGCAGTCGAATCTGAACAAAGAAAATGCGCGAAATAAAAATATAAGCGTACAAATCTACGCAAAGCCGCCGACACGATCGCGGACCACACTGGAGCTGCGATCGCCACAACGACAAAATACTGCGGCGGCAGCTGCTGCTGCTGCTCAGAGGCAAACAAATGTAAGTTGGGAGTTAGAATTTCGCTTGATGTTATCTTAACCAAAGTAGAGCACCGAAATAATAGCATTCCCACGACAGCCGGTTCTATGTACCGGAATGACTCGGCTTCTACCCGACCAAGGGCTGTTGTTCCGGCGATCTAACCCCGTTTAGGTCGGCGAAGTATCTCAGAAGTTGTTCGTCCATAGGGCTATATTTGCTACGCATTCTTCTGCTCAGGGCTGGCATCGAGTCAAACCCAGGGCCAGAAACCTATACCTGCTGTGTGTGCCAGAGACGACTACACCGCAACTCCACCTCAGTCAAATGCAATGCTTGCGACGGGTGGAGTCACCTCAGAGTCTGCTCAGGACTACGGACCCTTCGGCAGTGGACCACATCATTTCTGGCCCCCTACTGCTAAAATAGAGCAGCCTTAACGGCTAACCCCAGTCCACCTGAGCAGCTCACCACAAACACCACAGCACCACAACACAACAAAACAATAGACCACACTACAACCACGATAGACCACACAACACACACAACCGCACCACCACCCACACGCCGCCGCCAACAACTCCTGGGTCCCGTAACGTGACATCAGTCAAGTGCTACACCTACCTTGGCTGGTGCCACTTTAGAGCATGTTCATGTCTGCGCACCACGCGAGATTGGACTGGGAACTTCGAGGGCCCGTGTTGCGCTGCTCGGTCGCAGACCTCAATTGCGACGCCTCCCGCCACCATCACAGGGCGGCAACCATCACAGCAGTGCAAACAGCCAACGGCGGTAAGAACACACACATCACTTACACCCCACATCACGACACGTCTCCCGAACCACATGAAGCTCCTTCAATTTAACTGCAACGGGCTTCAGAGCAAGATTGAGGAGATAACCGTCTTCATGTGTCGGCATGGTATATTGATAGCTGCGGTCCAAAAGACGAAGTTGCACAGCAATTCAACTTTGTTGAATTGCGCCGGGTACAACGTGCACCGTCGAGATCGCGAGCGAGATAATGGTGGTGGCTTAGCGTTCATCACGCACCACACCGTGAAGTATCGTCTAATCGAAGCAGACATCGACCGCAGGGATACCACCCTAGAATGTCAGGGCATTGCTATCCGGTCAGGCGATGTTGAGCTCGAAATATTTAACGTGTACATACCCCTGTCACCTGCTGCCCGGCAAGATATCACCCTCATATAGGTGCGCTCCTCAGAGGTGAAAACCGTATGGTAGTAGATGACTTTAATGCGCACCACAATATTTGGCACTCAAGCCTGTCAAACGATCGTAAGGGAACAGACTTGGCTGAGCAGATAGACGATTCGACATTCTGCACAATGAACGACGACGCACCCACCAGGATTATGGGCAGCTCGCCAGATATAGCAATAGTCAGCGCTGGTCTGATAAATAGCGTATCATGGCGACCTACGCTGACTTTGGCATCAGACCATCTGCCCACGGTCATCTCGATCGATAAACCAACCGACTTTGCTTCCGCGGAACACCGCTTCGCGGAATTTACTGAGAGCACCTTCGCTGCGCTCCCCACACCAACCGACATCCACCTTGGCGAATGTAAGTTCCGCAGGGTTGTCACTGCTGCTGCAGTTCGCTTGGTACCGGCAGGATGCATCACGGACCCACGTCCAAACTTCCCTGCTGAAGCGGCTGTTCTAGTCGATGAGCGTGACAACCTTCATCAGGCCGATGCCGGAAATCCCCGTATCAGGGATCTCAACGCGGAGATTCGGCAACTAGTGAACGTACATAAGCAGAAGAACTTGTAACTTCGCCTCTGGTGTCAGCAGGCTTTGGTCAACCGTGAGGTCACCGTCCAATCCGACGAAGCACGACGACAGGGTCGAAATTTCTTTCGGCGACCATGCTTCGTCGAACCCGGAGCGATGCTGGAGCAATTTTAGCCGGCAGTTCACACTGCATCCTCCGGCGGACAAAGCCAAGCGTAGAGTGACAAGAAGGCTGGACAAACTGCCAACAACTTGTGCCCGCCTTGCTTTCACTAGCGGTGAAGTTACGGTGGCCATCGGGAAGGCGAAAGCCTCCAAAGCCATGGGTCCCGACGGAATATTCATGTTGATACTGAAAAATTTGGGTCCTACGGGAGTAGCGTACCTAACGGAGCTACTCAATATGTCAATGGCCACTCTCATCAACCCAGGCATCTGGAAGGTGGCGAGAGTGGTCCTACTGCTCAAAACGGGGAAACCAACCAACAAAGGAGAATCTCATTGGCCGATAACACTTCTTTCCCCGGTAGCGAAGACACTACCGTCAGCCACTCTACGCTACTAGAACTAGAGATAAAGAGGCTTCCTCTCTCCCACAGAGGCTCAAATGGTGGTCGGCGAATTATCTAAGTGGTCGACACTCGTAGGTAATCTTTAGAGACAAATTGGGCAAACTCAGAAAATAAAACAGGGGGTTCCACAGGGTGGTGTCCTTTCCTCACTACTGTTTAACTTCTACATTTCAAAGCTCCCTCAACCACCAGAGGGAATCTCGATTGTCTCTTACGCCGACGATTGCTCGATCACAGCGACTGGGAATGGAATTGATATCTTGTGTTCGAAAGTAAACGGGTATCTCTCCGAGCTTTCTCGCTTCTTCCCCTGCTTTGCTTCTCTGCGCACGCAACCGCTATTGTCAACAAAGTACAGAGCCGCAACAAGGCCTCAAGTCGCTAGCCGGCAGTACTTGGTTCATTAAACAACCTCTGGACCCGTCAGCTTATCGACAGGCCTTGAACGGCATTCACAGGGAGTCAGTCTCGAGTTATGTAGGCCCCAGGCCTGTGAATGCCGTTCTAGGCGCACAACCACCGGACATTGACGAGACGGAGCTTCATCTACCTCGGGAGACCAGAAGCACAATATCCCAACTTCGCTCTGGCTACTGCAGCAGGTTAAACTCATATCTGAGCAGACTAAACGCAGATGTACCAAATGAGTGTCCGGTATGCGGAGAGACACCCCATGACTCGAAACAGTTCTCCGTATACCCAAAAAACCCGACAATCCTAACGCCTTTGTTCCTGTGGACCGACCCTATTGAGGCTGCACGCTTCTTAGGGCTGCCGTTAGTGGAACTTGACGACAACGACTGAGATATTAACCGATCTGGGCGGGGTTGTTGTAGCTGCTACAACAACAACAACCGAAATAACAGCTGTCATAAGATTAGAAGACCAAAGCTGTTCAGTGGTCACGGGAACGCTGCGTAATAGCGTGGGCCGAAATTCGTTTTTTTTAGAATTTGGATTGGTAATACCAAAAATATGGTTCATTATGCTCTAAAAACAAGCTGTGTGAAAGGTGACAATTTTTGGTCAACATCTCAGGCTCGCTCAAGTCCATAGCTGAAGTACTATAAAAGAAATTTCTAAGCTTACTTCGATTCTCTACAAAAAAGGTCCATATCCCAAGTTATGTAGGACTAATACTTTCGAAGCTACTTGCAATTTTATAAAAAAAAGTATTAATGTATTTAGTGATTTTTATTTTTTAATTGAACTTTGATGGATTTGGGCGAGCCAAAGATATTGACCAAAAATGTTCATCTTCCACACAGATTGTTTTTAGAGCATAATGGACCATTTTTTTCCTATTACAAATCAAAATTCTAAAAAAGCGGATTTTCGGCCCCAGATACGTAAGCTGTTTAATGTAGTTAGGCGCATGGTGTTGAGTGAATACTCAAATATTTTAACCGAAACAATTAGGAGGTCAAGAAAGCTTAAACGGATAATTTTAGAATCTTCTCTGGGGAGTTTGTTTCAAGGCCTATCAAAAGATGGAAGGACAGTCGCTCTGCTTGGATTCCTTCACCCAAAACTAGAGCTCGAACCAAGAGAGAAAAGAAGGTCGAATTGGAGGTCGGTTCTTTTTTATCTGGAAATCTGGCCGTTGGGTGATCGGTTCTTTCGATACGGATGGAATCCGAGGAGCTTCTACTGCCCCACCAGGTAGGCATCATGAGTAACAGTTTTGCTTCGCAGAAAAGACTACTCGCTAGCAAAATCGTTTAAGCCAATAAGTTTAGCTTCTTCTGTGCTTAAAGCAATGGAGAATATTATAGATAACGACATCAGAACGAAGTCTCTGAAGCGAGCTCCGTTGCATCTAAGCCAGCACTGATATAGCGCAGGAAGGTTCAAGGGCACTGCTCTCCACCAGCTTCGGATATCCAGATAAAATGTACATTCAAAAATAAATATATAGTTGGATAGCAACCCGACTTAAAACCAGAGAATCCCCCTTGCCTTGTTAGAGTTTATAGAAGATATTAAGAATAGTCATAGGCAATCTTACAGGTCACTTGCACAAACTAGGTATTTAGTCAAACGATCTCTGCTGCTACTTTGGCTCAACCAAAGAAACTCCTTTGCATCTTCTAGACTAATATCCGATGCTTCTTTTAGGAGACGCGAGAGCAATCTTGGTCGAATGTAGCCACAGTAGGCGCAGAATCAATCCCTGTTCCCTAAAGCTTTTCCAAAGTTTTTAGAGGCCTTAGGCTTAACAGAAACATTGTGAAGAGCATTTGTCACATTAGATTCTAGATTGTAGTGCATACCTTATGTTTATAGCTTTATACATATCTATGCTCAGTAAAACTAAAGATTTAAAATTACTTTTTCATGGTTTATTTTATAGAGATTTTCAAGCTATAATGCAGATGGCGGCACTATTACCAATGTAAGATTGTGTGGAAGATTTCATTGTGGCATATTTAAATAAGACATATTTTATTTATTTCGCAGATACCAGTGAACTATAGACCGGATCCTGCATTGCTGACACAGCCCAGCTTTAACCAAAAAAGTTTTACCAATCGTCAAAATGTCGACGATAGTTTAGAGATCCAAATGCTGTTAGCTTCACACGAGCAAATTTATCAAGAGCTAAGCAATAGACATGCAACCCTACAACTAATACGAAATTCTACAAGGTACCAGAGAGCACCTTGATTTGCCTTTCATCGACCATTCAAATCATTCGTCTTCCTTGCATTAATCGAAAATTACATGATTACTTATAATTTTTGTTTAGGTCTCACGATATTATCGGCGCTTTAAAGCAAGCTATAAAGACAGGTCGAACTGTGTTTGTTGATCTTTTAGGCGC